AACTGATGATTTACTGTGATTTCCAATTCAAGCATGACTGTAGAAAGATATTTTTTGGTTCTAGTTTTGAAGACTTTGCCTGTGTGCTTCCACCCTTACTAGTAGACGATCAAGCATATTTATTGAATTCTAATAGTTTACTGTTTTTGATTGGGTTTAGTAAGTGAAGATGTCATCAGTACTATTTATACAGTATATATTTATCAGTGATGTACAGTATATGTCAGCTATATTTTCTTCTAATGTAGTGTAGCTGATAATCTTCATTAGCTCCATCCTAATGAATGGGACCCATTAGACAGAGTTTGTCAAAGCTACATGGTTGAACCTCCGTGGGGGAAACCAGTCAGACTCAGCACTGCCAGAAGACTGATGCACTGCCACAGCTGATAGCACACTACTACCATATACGTCTCACACTTGAAAGGAAACCGAAGCTATAGTTATGTGGAACAATCTGGTCCAATATTAAGGCATCTCAGGTGTGTGTGTGTGTGTGTGTGTGTTTGTATGTATTCTATACTATCTGACTCCCATGAATTCAAAGCCTCTAATCAGCTTAGTCTGTTTACACGTGAATGTATGCATGTTGAATACATAAAATGTATATGCGAATATGTGCTCAGTGTTAAACTGTATGTGGTGACACAATATATTGGACAAGCTTGGACAGTAAGATAAATGTGGGTAGAGGAAGGTCAAATAGTCTAGTATTCATAGGTGTAAAAAGTCATTTTTTAAAACATCTGCTGCTTTCCGACATCTTTTCCCTGCTGTTTGTCTCTCAGGATTTGGATCATTTCAGTTTAAAAGCTTGTGAAGGTACAGTCGAGGACTGCTAAAGCTGGTCTGAATGTTTGGGTGCTGTCTGCAGCAAGGAAAGTGATCCAATAGCTGTGAAACAGCGCCACTCCATACAGCCTCACTTGATTATTCACATCCCCAAGTAGGAATACAGTTCCCAAGGTTTTCTGCAAGATTTAACATATGGTTAATATTAATAAAATAAACAGGAGCAGCCAGACACTGACATAAAACTACTACAAATATAATAGCAGTAGATGTGTTTATAGAGAAGGATTAAAAAGCATTCCTTGATTAAAGTTACAAATCTCAGTACAATCTTCTGCAAAAGCCACAAAGTTTGCAGTTAGCTTTTCATAACAATACACTGTGACAAACACTTATTAGATGCATGAGGCCAATTCTTTTTTCTTTCAAGTAAGTGCAGTAGTTCATGAGGAAATAAGGAAGACAAAAAAACTGCCTTATCTTACAGGTCATTTCAGAACTTACTGGATCCACACATAGATGTAGATCCAAACCAAAAACTAATCATTTCTTCCTCAGGCCAAGACCAAACCTGACGCCCTTTAAGCTTACAGACAAACAGTCTGACAACCAAACAGAAAATGGACTGAAAACAATATATTGGACAAAGGTAACAAATCTGCACATTTGTAATGAAAGAACTGCTGCACTGATGTCTGCCTGCCCCTGAACAGGTCTTGGGGTTTCAAATATACTTTAATTTCAGATTTTAATGTGGATTTCTCAGTATCAAAACTTAATAAACACACTGTGGTTTAAAAATAAACTGGAAGTAACACAAATTTTTATTATCGTTGGTTGCGGTTTAGTTTTTTTACTCAGCAGGGAGTGTCTATTTAACATCAGAATACATTTAGTGACTCGCTGTTTTTATACTGCAGAAAGTTCAGTTTGAAACTCCAGATATCTATCAGGGTATCTTTTGGTATTTGTACCCTGAATGTGTACTCGAGCCTCAGAGTACTCGGGAGATTATATCTGCAGTATTCAGACACGTTCTGCAGTCAGGTTTAGCCCCTCTGAGATAAAGTATTTGAGGATTTGACTTGTGTCTGTCTTGTCTTGATTACGTGTCTCATTCAGACTTATTCTGTGGTGTCATAAACTCTCCACAAAGCCTTCATGGTCCTTCTGTACATTGTTTTATAGATGTGATTGTGGCTGCTGAAACTCTCAGTGCTGCTGGTGTTTTCTTCCTGGTCCTACAAGACTGATGATATTATCCCATGTTCTTTCTCTAGTTTTCATATTAGCTGTTGTGTCTGTGGTGCTTTTGTGCTGTGACAAGCCTATACTGTATATGATAACAACAATGCTTTTATCTTTTCTATTCCTCTTGTAATAAAAAAGCTTTTTCATGCAATATATTCCTGGATGCAACGATTTATAATGTTTCACCTCTCCGGTAACTAACAACTTTTTGTCTACATAGGCTCTTGAGAGTACGACTGCATCATTTGGAATTATTTGAAATATGCTCTAGCTATTATCTACAATGCACGTACATTCAATATGCATTCATATTTGAGAAGTTGTTAAAAATCTGAAAAGAGCTTAAAATGTTAATATAAAACCATACAAATGTGGGAACAATACATTTAGCCTTTTTTCATTTGATGAATGAAACACTGTACTTTGACTACTGTATAACTTAGAATTTCAAAATGGTAACTGATAACCAAAAACATCAAGACTAGGCCCTAAATATCTATGAATGATAAAAAAAAATAAATAAATAATGCTTAGCTTCTAGATACTTGTGAATGTGTTTACTGGCCTATTTATGTCCCCTTAAAGTGAGACTATGACGTCACCATACTCACAAACAGGATACTGAGTTTTTGCTGAGACTGCATCATTAATTTGTGAATTATAAAAGCCACACTTCTCAAAAATATTTTGTAGTATTATCATATATTCACATTATTGATTATGGGTCCATTGTGAGTGATGAATTTCTCTATGCAACACAATAGAGGGAGGTAGGCTACATTTATTTCTTTATTCTGTTCAGACATTTACTGTTGAAACAAATGCACTGTGGTCTTGGCACATCAGGAATCCCTTTTGTCGGCTTCATTTTGAAAAGTTGCTTAGGTTTATCCATAAAATATAAAAAAGGACCTTAAATCTGATGATTCAAAGTGTGTAATGTGCAAGTGGAACATTGTGTACCTGCTAGCATGAACTGCTCCCATCACACTAAGCTGGACATCACTCAACTTCCACAAATGTGATGTGGGAACCTGAAGCCTGCATTGCACATAACTACACTGAGAATGGTCACAGGAGACATCTTGTAAGTTACAAGTTTGAACTGAGAAATATGTGCTATAGGAGGGAGGAGTATATATATGTTATTATTATTATTATCATCATTGGCATTTAAAATAAAATCCATATCTAACGCTGATTACTATTCAAAGCAATTTTATATATCCTCCAAAGTGCTTTAATATTGATCACTATGGACCTTATGTCCTGGTCGTGCCTGTGCCGCCAGTGGCCACCAGGTGGAGCCCTCTCCTCCTCCCACTCGGGTGTCAGCGCAGGTGCGTCGAGGTGAAACAGCGCGGAGAGCTCGGGTGTTTCCGTCACGGCTCGGCAGCGAACAGCTCTGGATGTGGGAATGCGGTTGCAGGCGGTGGGCATAGCTGGACACTCGGCCGAGATGTACCTACAGGAGCAGGAGGTCTGTGCGGCTGGCTGTCGTCCAAGTTAACGGGTTGTCTTAGGACGGGAGCCCCGGACATCTGGGAGTCGCTGGGAACAGGGCAGCTTGGCGTTTCCCCCCGAGTTGTACTGGGGATTTTCCGCCTTGTAGGGGAGACGGAATGAGAGAGAAGCCAGGAAGGATTCCCCAGCACTATGGAGCCACGCATTGCAGGCAGCAGCGTGAGTACTAACGCAACAGACACCCAGGAGAGCCCCCGGGGGACTGGGCTCGTTGCTGCTGGAATCACACCCCAACTTTTCCATGACCTGCTTTTTACGTGCGGCCAAAGCTCTTAGCACCCGCATAGTTAAAAACAACTGTTTTAATTTAATTGTTGTTGTGTTGTTCGGGCGTCGAAACGACGTTCAGGCTAATTGATAATTCATTGCGTGTGATGAGCTCGACTACCATCATTAGACGCACCTGCCGGGCGTGAGAGGCCGCGCCTGGCGAGTCGTCAGCGGATTCGTTTCTGAGGATTCTCTGCTGCCTTTTGTCGCTACGGCGGTTGCTACTGACGACCACTGAGCCCGAAGACGCAAACAGACGGACGGACACAATATAAAGGGCCACCCCGTAGTAACCACAAGTTCTGACCAGTTCTGTGCAGCCTGTTCTGACCGGCTGCTTCTTTCTAACCCAACATTTAACTCTGACCTTCTCCTTGTCCAGGCAGCAAGTCAAAGGGTGCTGGAGAAGTTGTAGTTTGTGACGAGGTGACCAAATGTAACACAACCTCCTGGGTCACAAACAACCCGCCAATGCAAAATTTAGGCCTCTATCTCAGTTTTTTTTCTGTGTAGGTGAAGGAGGGTTTTGTTGGTCCCAGGATTGAGTTAATTTTGGCCAAGTAGCCAGATTACTGTGGATTAGAAGGCATTTAAAATAGTCACATTATCCCACTGTGCTTGCAGAGTCGGCTTCAACAACACCTTTAAGGCTCCCTGTCAAATATGAGCTGAAATATAAGTGGGTAAGTGCACACGTTGCACTTAAAACACTCCATGAGGTGCAGCTTTTACCTGATGGCCAGTCCACTGCTGCACTGGCTCTGGAGGGACATGGACTCCAAACTGACCCGTCTATGGATACAGGCAGATGAAAGATTGAACATTGTACATTTATGCTCTATTTTAAGCGGTTTCAAGTTATAGATGACGTTTTTACAAGAGAGTGGGGAGTAAAATTCATTTAGAAAGTCAAATGAAGGACACTGCAAACATCTGTAGAGTGGAGCAGAGGTTACACCAGAACACAATGGGCAGCAGTTCTGATAATTACTCCATCATGTGAGTCATTTATCAAGTAAAAGGTGCCAAATATCTGGTGATTTAAGCATCACAAAGTGGGCAGTTTACTGTTGTTCTGTTCCTTTTACTTCATTGTAAATTGAAAAATTTGGGCAGCTCTAATATAAAAGTCACACTAATTGAGAATAGACACAACAGAATTTTTCAGAAGAGCAGAACATTTTGTTTTAGTACTGAAATTCAGTTTTTATCGTTGTGTCTTTTGCTTCTCCAGTGTGAAAGGTGACAGTGAAATTAAATGCAAAGCTTCTGACCCTCGACTCTGAACCTTTACCTGGTCCTGCTGCACATAGAGGCGACAGCATCGACCGCATTGAGGTACTTGCCAGACACGTGCATGCCCACAGTTTTATTTATCATATAGTGATTATGATACACATTTTACATGGTAGATTCTCTTTACCTTTCAGATTTACAAATGTTCCACCAGTAAGGGTAAGATGTACAGTAGCTGTGTGTCCATCATCACCTTTAATACCTGTACTTAATGTGTGTAGCCTGTAAATAGTTGAATCCTGCATGGTGGATCCAGACAGAGCATTTAAATGTGTGTCCTTCCTCACTAGTGTGTGAAGCCAACAGCAGCATCATGTTCTACGGTTCTTCTTCTGGGGCCAGTATGTCCCTGCCATCCAAGAGCCGCCTCAAACGCCAGAGCAGAACCTTCACACAGGTAAACATGCACGCACACTTATACACACATTGTCATGTTGGTAAGAAGCCTCTTAATCTCAAGAATGGTCAGTTCAGGCAAATTTGTGTGTTGATGTGTGCATTGAGCTTAATGCACAGGAGCGTGGCTGCAGACTCGGCTTGTTTAAATGTCCTTATTCAGCGCTGTGAAGATGTCAAAGTTTTATTTATCTCCAGTTTTTTGGGGTGGTGGCAGAAATCCCAGAGATGAGCATCTCCAGCCTTTGGCAGTAAAACCCAAAACAATATATGTAGCTGCTCTAGGCAAATGTTTTTTTTGTAATTTGAGTGAACTGACCCTTTAAAATAAACAAATTAGACATAAAATGTCTGCGACACTGTGGCGTTACAATGCATTCGGTACTGTCTGTCTGTTCACCAGGTCCTGTACCGTACTCTGAGTTACAGAGACCGCGTTCCAGCAGAAGCTGGAACAAACACCCGAGGAGACCGGCGCACGACCACTGAACCCCCAGAGCGACCGGTGGATGACCCAGCCGAGCTCTCCACACAGAGCTCGGCCCCTGGGGTGCTGAAGATTTTTGGAGATGAAATCTGTGCCGGTGCCAACTACAAAAGCGTCCTGGCCACTCCACGTTCCAGTGCGCAGGAACTGGTCAAAGAGGCACTCGAGCGTTACTCCCTCAACAAGGACGCTGCGTGCACTCGGGGACAATGAAAAGCCGTTGTTGCTCCAAGAGCTGTGGAAGCCCCGAGAAGGACACGCTCGCAGATTTGAGCTGCGCAGGAGAGCTGAGGTGGAGGAACTCAATGCCAAGGAGAAGGACACCATCACTGCTGGTGAGGAAACACAAAAAGACACAAAACACACACGCACACAGCAGCTGGTCTAATCCTCTTCTTAACATGTCAGTCTCAGCAGAAGTGTACAGCTCATTAGCTCTTCTGAAGTGATTGTGTGTGTGTGTGTGTGTGTGTGTGTGGCAATGCAGAAGAGTTACTGTCACAGTTATTCTGTAGAGAAGTTATAGCTCCTGTGTGATTAACAGTCTCATGTCATATGGAGGTGCTGTCCTGTGAACACAGTTTCTTTTAAAGACACGTTAGCATGTGCAGCTGGGCATGCTAGGAAACACGTGTGCACACACACCAACACGCACACAGAAAGAGTGCAGTAGAAATGCACGGACAGCTGCTCGATTGATTGAGTGAAAGCTGAGTCCTATGTGACCCGAGGTGTGGGCGCCCTGGTGTTTTTATGAATGAGATGTCACTACTACACTGAGATGATTTCGTTTTTCTATGTTCACGGCGGCTCACACCTGAACTGTGTACATGCAAGTGACATTACAGTTTCCTGGTCAGATTGATTCTGTTCTCTTGATAGATTTTAGTAGATATATGTGTAAACAAGTTACACAACCTCAAGAAAACATCTGTAGTGCAGTAAATAGTGTGTGATTGTGTCTGTTTGGAAAGTGTGATGTGACCTTTATGTGAAACTGGTTTGTTGATTGATGAAAAGTTTGCCATTTATGTACATGCTCAGCCTTGTGCAGCCTGTTGAGAAGATTCATAAACACCCAGTTAGTGAGCAGTAGTGTTCAGAGAGAGAGAGAGAGAGAGAGAGAATGTATTTTTAGCTCCACAGTCAAAGATTGCACTTTGCAGTAACATTAACATTTCTCCTGAAGCATGCCAGGGTTTATTGGTTGCTATGTCATCCTCTGTGGTAGCCAGAGAGCTGGCCAGCAATCTGTTGTTGTTTTTATGTTGTAAGGTACAGTTGTATAATTTTCAGATGGCACAGAATGAAACATTAACCAGTTTGTAAAAGCATGAAGCCCTGACAGGATAAGACGCTCCATACTTTTCTCACTTGATATATGATGTAAATGTAAATGCTGCGTTTTCATCATGTCGTCTGCATCGTTTTCATAGTTTTGTTACTGATGGTCTTAGGTTGATAAATGTGCATTTGTTGTGGATGATTTTCAATTTGGTGAGCATGTTGTATATAGTTATAACAATGTACAGTTGCCTCAAAGTAAACTGCATAGTGGTTCTGTTCATTGTAGTGTTACACTGTGGTCTAATGGGGTTTTTATTTGGAGCTTAGCAGCACAGAGAAATAATATTAGGCTACAGAGACAGTGCAATAAGCAAAATATAGATTATCTCCAGCCTATTCCAAGTGTTTGTACTATCTTTAAAAACACTGCAAGTACAGTTACACAACTACAACTTCTACCTTTCGTCTAGCGTGTGAAAATATAGACAAAATACAGTTGCTTCAAAAAGCGTTTGGACCCCTTTGTTTTGTTTTTTTTTTACATTTTGTGTTGTAGATTTTATTGTAAATGGATAAAATTGTCATCATGCCTGTAATGACAAAGTGAAAACATGAGTAAATTTAACCAAAATTGAAATCTCATTTGCAAAACTATTTTGACCCTTACTTCTGTACTTTTTAGAAGATCACAGCTTTGGGATTCTGTTCCTACCTGCATTTGGGCAGTTTATCCCGTTCTCTTTGGCAGATCCCTTCAGGCTCCAGTGCTCTCGATGGGAAAACAGCTTCAAGTCTCTCCACATATGTTCTATGAGTTTTAATTCTGGGCTTTGACTGGGCCACTTAAGGACAGTCAGACTAGTCCCATTAATTATATTAATGCATGTTTTTATTTTCACACTAACCCTTTCTCTCTTGTGTTATGTATAAAGCTTACATATTACAGAGGCTCCTTTCTTTCTCTTTCTCTGACTTGCCTTTTTCTCTCCCCTCGGTGTAAATGTGAGCATGCACATCTGTGAACTGTGTGTATTCTCACATACACTTTGTTTAATGAGATAGCACTGTAAAGGTACTGTAGGATTTTCATGATATGCAGTGGCCAGAGAAAGAATGATGCATGCAGGTCTGATCCACAGCTATAGGCGGCGCTTGTTTGAGGTTAATGCTGCCAAAGGAGCTTCACCCAGTTATTAAAGCCAACAGTTCACTTACTTTTTCTTACTACTGTACATGAACACATCACAGCCAAGTTAACTGTAATTTCATCAGAAAGTGATTTTATTCTACTTCTCTGACTCTTGTCTGAATAAAAAATGGAATCATTACAGAAATGAAAGACAAAAAACCCCCGATCTGATTCACAAAGGAGCCTGTTATTAAGTTATTAATGTGACTGTGATATGTTAAAAGACAAATCCTGTGCCGAAACCTTTAACTCTGTATCGGTCCTCACCAAACTGGTGATGTGACTGACTAGAAGCATCACAGACCTTTTTGCTCCACACTGCATGTTTGTCTTATGCTGTGTATGTTCATTGGTGTATTCTGTGCTTGGTGTTTTGATGAGGGGGTGTTTTCTCAGCTTCCCCCCGTCTTAACCCCTCCCACCCTGCTGTAGGGCCCAAAACTCCCCAATTCCTGGCGGCTCTAATGGGTCGGTCCGGGCTTGGCAAACACAGGAGCTCCCCCCTGCGATCTGGTCGGGTGGTACAGTCCAGCTCTAAAGGTGGGGACTGGCCTCAGGTAGGGTGGCTGTCAGTCATTGCCATGGAGACCACCTCTACCTGTGTTGTCACCAGCGCCACCCCCATTGCTAGTGATCCAGTCAGTGTGAGTGTGTGTCAAACTGTGTGAGCCATCGCATGGCCTCAAATTCTCTAATGCACATCATGAGGAAGGCAGAGTTTACATTTCATCAGGTTCAGTGTTGTGAGACATGCTGTGCTGCTCCATTCAGAGCCATTTACTTCATATGACTGGTTTTACTTGGTTTCCTCTCAGCTCAAACATGACTGTTGCATTCTTGTGTCACTGCTGCCTGAGAAGTTACTTTATCCAGAATTATGAGTCAAACATACATGCTAACAATGCACATCATGTTAAAGTACACCTTTTTTTTCTGTTGTCTTCAACTCCTCTTTCCTTTTGCTCCTTTTTATTATTCTCTACCTGTTCTTCCTGTTGCCCTTCTCTCTCTCTCTCTCTCCTTGTTCTCTTGCTTGCTGTTCCTCTCTGCCTCCCTGTAGATATTAATGCCCAGGCTCGTAAGCTCCAGAGGAACAGGGCGAAGGGGACGCTGACCCTGCCCCGGTCCAGCAACTCATCCTTCTGCCGCAGCCTCAGTGAAACCAGCCTCAACCAGGTGGGGCGTCCTGTTGAAGCCTAGTCAGGATGATTGATTGTTATTATTCATGGGACTCTTAGCAGCCTGGAGTAAATCCTGGAAGCTTATGTGTTTTCAGCTGGGAGTAGGAGAGGAGGCCAAGCGTTATTACTCCACCCTGCCTGGGCCCGTGAGGGGCTGTGAGCGTGAGGTGGCCTCCAGCGGCCGGAAGAAAGAGGAGGGGAGTCAGGGAGGAGGTGGAGGGGTGAGGCACTCTCTGTACCAGTCCCCTCACCTCCTCTTGCTGCAGGGATTCAATCGGCAGGTGAGGACAGTGTTTTGTTCCAGACTTCTGATGTGTGTGATCATATAGTGACATGTTGTGCTGTGTGTGTGTAGGACTGCCTGGTGTAAGAGCAGCACACTGGCGGCCAGGAGACCCCATCAGCTCGGCCCAACATCTGTCTGTTTTCTCCTGCCCTCCTGCCCCTCCACTGCCGCCTCCGCCGAGTCCCCGCACCTCGTCGCCACGCCAACAACAGCAACAAGGCAGAAGAGCTGACGGAGAGTCAGCGGTTCTGTGTTGCTGTTGAGCCTGTCCTCCACGCCACAGTTCTGGTGAACTTTTCCCGCTGTGAGCGCTCCACCACTCTGCGACACGGTGACCTCCTCTCCTTCGGAGCTCATTATATCTTTCTGTACAAGGACCCCACGGGCGCTAAACCTCTGCCTGCTCAGACCTTGGCACGTCTTCGCACCCTGGGGCAGCTATATGATGCCGGCATGGAGGAGGGGGAGGGGGGGACTCAGACTTGTAAGATGTGCGGTTCTGTGCTGAAGGACAGAGCAGCACAGTTGTCGAGCGCTCCGGCAGTTAGACGCAACTTCAAACCTCACCTGGTGAAACCCCACAGCGGGGGGACGAGAGCAGGAGGACACCTCAGTGTGTCGGGTGGAGAAGGAGGTGGGGTAGGACGAGGAGGAAGTCAGAAAAGGAGGCTGCAGCTGGAGTTTGACCAGGCTCATGAAGACCAGCTGTTAAACAGGATTGTATCTCTAATAGAACCCGGAGGTCTGTGCTCTTACTTACAGTATGATAGAGAAAATAAGACTTTACTGTAGGTAGACTTACATGATGCAGTGTCTTATCTCAGTGAATGTGCTGGGTTGGAATTAAAGTTTCACCTCATTGAAACAAAACAAAACAGTTCTCACATGGGTTTAACTTTGTGTGTTGTGCTCATAGCACTGAAATGTTCAGCTGTATCTCTTATAAGAAAAGAAAATGATCCTAACTCTAGAGCTGTAGTACTTCTGGCCCATTAATTACACACACTGTGTCTCACAGCTGTAACCGGTTCAACCACAGAGGCAACGTTTTCCTGGTTTCATTTAAATACTCAGTAATTAACAAAGCGGAAAAGATTAGCAGAAAGTCTGAAGCTTGTGTTCCAGCTATTCTGTTAATCATCTTCTGACCCCTTAGACTTGTCTTGTGACAGTTTATGTATTGACTATGGGTCAAGTGTAACAGTGGGAGTGAGTTTTAATTTTGTGAGCAGCACACAGACATACTGGTTACCTCCACTGTACTGGGGTGGCAGCAAGAATCTCAGAAACTTGTATTTTGAAACTTGAAAATATAAAACTGCAATTCCTTTTATGGTTGGATATTGTTGTTTTTTTTTTTTTTTTGTTTGTTTGGTTTTTTTTTTTTTTTGGGTGAACTGACCCTTTAAACCTTTGTCTGTTTACCAGGAGACGACCACAAACTGACGCCGGCCTACCTGTTGTGTCTGTGCATTCAGCACTCTGCCTCAGCCTTCCCACCTGGGAGTTTTGGAAAACTGCTGCTCAAGATCGTGCGGCGAATCCAGACCATTGCGTGGGTCAGTGTCTGCTCATCTAACTGTCCATCTCTGTGGTCTCTGATAAGGTGGCCTCATGGATAAGAAATGGGAAGCCATGTCGGGTCAGGTGAAGAGTTAAACAGGGTCACATGTCTCCATAGCAACAAACCATAGGAATAGTTTGGGGATTTAGATGAAAATTAATAATTTGATATATTCTTATTTTGTTTTTGTCAAAGGAGGGACCTTCAGGACAAGGGCTTCCCAACATGGCTGCGTATTTTTTGAAATATCGGTGCCAGCGTGACACCCGAGTTAATCAGTGACATCAGGGTTAAATGAAAACAGACTAAATAAAGTCTTAAATTGTAAACTTTTTCTGATTTATATTGGAAAAATAACCCTAATAATGCGTCCAAGGATTCCTGTCCCGGTTTAGATACTACATTTTGGTACAGAGGTTTGTTACACGGCCCTACCAGCCAGTAGATTTGGAAAATACCGTCTATACCAAACTCTAGAACTCCTCACAGAACTGAACCTACAGGTTAATGGATTTATGCCACTTAATTGTAGCTTCTGTTGCAGTTTTTTTTAAATTGATTAACAGTTTCATTATTTAAACCTGAAAATGGGAACATTTAAATGATTGTAAATCTCGAGGTCTCCCCAGGACCCTGCCAACCAAACCAGCTCCTGACACAGCCTCATGTGATGATCTAAACAGAAGCCATGCTTGTATATAAATGGCTTTTGCTGTGTGAAGTATTGTCTCTGCTCTCTTTCTTGAAGAGTTTTGTTCTATAAAGTGTACAAAATGTATATTCTTGGGAGTAGTTTATGTTTCAGGTGGAGTGGCCTGCTTCTGATATAAAACACTGCATGGTTTTGCCTACCATGTCTAGGTCAAAGGTTTTATATCTTCAAAAAGTCTTATCGAGAGATAGCTGGTGCAAAGACAGACAGGTAGGCGGGTGAAGGTGGGTTATATTTAGTTTATAATTAGGGTCATTAAATTGGGGGTAAGGTAATTATCAAAGTGCGTCACTGTAATTGTGCTAGGTTTTGTAAATATGATAGTGGTATTTTTTTCTGCCAGTTCGTGATAGTGTCACAAAGTGTGGCTCTCCTACACACATCCTAAAAGTTTAATGAGCAGTTAATTGCTGTGTGTGTGTGTGTGTGTGTGTGTGCGCGTGTGCGCACGTGTGTGCGCCTTGCAGGAGAAGACAAAGGAGCTGGCTCAGAAGCAAGCTCAGCAGTGAGTATCATTTTCCAGTTTGTGTTAGAAAGAAAGAGAGCATGTGCGCTCATGTACCGAATGCGAGTATAATTATCGGCGTGACAGTACGTCCACCAAACTCGACTTAATCCTCCACTCTTTGCATACACGTGTGTGTCCGTGTAGCCAGGACCCGGCCTCCCTGTCTCTGTTGAGCATCTCAGACCTGGTCCCAGACCTACAGACCATCTTCTTCTGGATGTCCAACTCCATCGAGATCCTCTACTTCATACAGCAAAGAGCACCAGCATACACACACGGCATAGAGACACTGCAAGGTACATACACACACACACACACACACACAGGGTCGAAATGAAGAGTGTGGGAACAACTTGTATGAAGAGTCATTAATCACACTGGCACACCGTACACACTGATACAGCTACAGCAGTGCTCTCACTCTCTCTCACTTTCACTGTACAATAAGCCGCTGTCGTCTGTGTCTAGGCTCAAAGGAGTCACTGCTGTCGGCGACCATATCAGCCAATGAGGAGGCAATGACTATCCTGGAAGAAGTCATCATGTACACTTTCCAGCAATGTGTCTACTATGTCACCAAGGTAATCTGTCACTGAGCCAAAGCCATCTTCTTAATGAACAAGTCATTTATCTTGTTTTAAAGTCGGGCTAGATGAATATTAACAGACCCACATTCACACAGAAGACCTGAATAAGATGTTACACACACACACACGCACAAGTTCCTTTCAGATCACTTCCATCTTCACACACGTCTTTGTCTTTGTCTTTGTGTGTGTGTGTGTCCAGGCTCTGTATGTAGTGTTACCAGGTTTGTTGGACTGTAATCCATTCCCAGTCGACAGCTCTGAACCCTGCTGGAAAGGAGGCCTCGGGTTTCCTGAACCTGTACGCAGGGTCCTGCAGGTAAGCACATGTATATTATTGTATTGTACGGTTGCCAACTGTCAGGAAGTGTCAGAATGAATAATCCTTTTTTTTCCTCTGTGTATAACATATTGCTCTGCACACAGAATGTTTAAATAGCTTGTTTTAAAACCACCAGACATATTTATACTACTACTCTGCTAGAATTAATAACATTTATGGTTGTTCCATTAACTAATTAAATATTCTTAAATTTACATCTAGTCCTTTTACCTTATTGAAAAACCTGAGCTCAGCAAATATTTTTTGTTTCAAAGCTTTACCTGCTGAAAACAAGACAGAAAAGTCCAGCCTAACTGCACAAGCATCACTTTGCTCAGTCAAGGTCAAACATTCAGTCTAATGAGAAACAATGTGAAGACAGTTGATAAGCATATGTTGGAGAAACCAGCAGCCAGAGGATTAGGGATTTCATCACCATCAAACTTTGTTTCGGACACACTGAGGGTCCATAAACACGAAGGACAAAGGGGGATTTATTTCAAGATCCAAAAAAAGGGAATTTTAAGAAAAGAAACTAAAGAAATCTGACTTCTTGTAAAACTCTGAGATCAGTCTCACAGTGAGAAAAATGCTTTGCTGTACATGCCAATGTGTTCTGGACTTAGTGGGCTTGAAGGTAGTTTCTCTGCAGAAAATATTGGTAGAATTTATGTAACAAAATGAAACGTCATTAGTTATGTAATGCAATAGTTTCTATCAAACACAGGGTGCAGTTCATGGGACATAGTGCACTTCTCTTTACTGTGCTTTACACAGCAAGAAATCTACATGAGCTGACACACATCAGCAAGGTCTAGACCACATCTTCCCTCCACTGGCACCTGGTTCCAATCAAGAGATGGATAATTGAATTAAAATGTGTTCTAGGAGTATTTGTTGGCACCTTTCTGAAATGTTCTTAAACCCCACTGATCGGCCAGTTTGTCACCGATTAATACAAATTCATTTGGTGTTTGGATCTGCAGAATTGTATTCACGGATTCCAGTAGATATCCCACCGGCTCCAAAGATATTATAGTATAATAGGCTGAATTCCGGGGAAATTAGTATAAAATAAATATCTGACTCGGTGAAAGCACAATTTTTCAGTGTATGAAAATTAAACAGCAGTTGACATGTAATGACATGCTGTCTTTTTATAACTACAGTATTTCTGTATTCATTTTTTACGTGTGCGTGTGTGTGTGTGTGCGTGCAGGTGTTTCAGAGTGCCCAGGAGCTTCTGCAGGGTTACCAGGTTCACCTGGAGATCCAGGCTCAGATGTTTGCGTACCTCTTCTTCTTCTCCAACGTATCGCTGTTTAACCAACTGATGGACAAAGGTAGGGGGAGATATAAAAAGAAAGAAACATGCATATGGACACCATCTTCCATTAGATCTCCCTCAGGATTTTAGTTGCTTCAGAAAGACAGTGTGTGTGTATGTGTCCCTGTGTCCTTGTCAGCACTTTGACAAAGACTAACCCACATTTGTCCTCGGTGTCCTTCTCCTGTCTGCATTCTGTTTCTCCCCCTTACTCCTCCTCCTCCTCACCATCCTTCCTTCTGTCTGGCCATAAGGGGTTGAGACAAAGGTGGGATTGGATGGAGAGAGAGAGAGAGAGAGAGAGAGAGAGGGGAGATCAAGAAGGGGAGGGGCATTAAAAGCAGAGAGAAGGTTGAAGGGCTGGAAGGCCGCTCAGTCGTTGGGATGACCTTGCTAATAGTCTATCACCGTGTCTAAATTCAGAAAATTTTCATTTACTGGCAAATATGTTTGTTTTTAACGATCTGTCACTTCCAACCTCTCCGTGCCCTCCCTTTGCATCTTTAGCCACACACACACTTCTACACACTCATGCACATGCCATATGTCTTCATTAAGCTGGTGGGGACAGGAGAGATCACGTCTGGCAGAGAGAGAAGGAGAAATACCTTTGTATTCATGCAGACACTCCCCTGTCCCCTGCCTCATCTCCACCTCGCTCTCCCCCCTCTCCCTCTCTGTCAGTCTGGCTTTCTCTTCCTCGCTACCCTTTTTGTCACTCATTGATATTTCAGCGCTGATGGTGTCCATGGTAACAGTGAAGTGAGTTTGTAGCAGGTAACGCTGACGTTTGCATCAGGCGCTCTGCAACTCACTCACACACACACACACACACACACACACACACACACACACACACACTGGTAGCCTATATTATTTCACCTTAAGATAAAAGACTCCTGGCAGAATTCAAGATTAAGTGACGCTCTCCTCTGTCATGTATGTTTGTGTGTGTGTCAGCGTGCTGTGTCGTCTTACACCATGCAGACACATTCTATTGTGTAGGTCCTTGTTTGAGAGTGTACGAGTGTGTTTCTGTGTTTTAAGGGGAGTGTATGTGTTTGCAAACCAGTTGCTATGAAGCATTACGACACCTTTGCTAAGAGGTTAAGTGCTGTCTCTTCTATTTGCGATGCCTCATGCATCAATTACAGTATTCCTAGACATAAGCTTATTATAGAGGGAAGTGCATGTGCCAAAACGCATGGCAGAATTTTTGCAGGAGTATGTGTGAGCTGTCACAACGTATCCCTGTCATTTTGTCTGCCTGAGGCTTCCAGTCATATCTAACCCTTATTAAACTGGATATTAAACCTCAGTATTTTTAGATACGCACCAAAACGCATGTGTAGCACCAAGTAAACCATTGACTGCCATCTTGTTGATGTATTCCACTCACTTAGCCCCTGATTTTAATAGAACTCTTTTGTTGTGCTGGCCTTTGACAAAAGCATTCTTTTTATTTATTTATTTTTTAAGGTTTCATCTCTTGGACATGGAATAAACTTATTGTATTCTTTTAACATCTGAAGTGCCTTCTCTACTTTTTTTGTCTGTGAAGCTGGGCTGTTGTCTTTGGTTAGAGGCACCTGACACTTTATTCTGGCAAAGTTCTTGTGGTGGTGTTTGTGTTTGGACAAAATGAACCACTTGAAAACCTTGGTTTAAAGTGAAATAAAACAAAGGGGTTTGTAGAAAAACTAATGTGTGTCTGGATTTGACACTTGTGGTATTTGTATTTACATTGTTATACATCTGCATAAAACACCATGACCTTATGACTGTGACCTCTGTCTGTGGCTGAAGTTAGCTGAACATCAACATGTCGATTCATCTGTTAATCTTTTCAGGTGTTTTTCCAAGAAAGAAAAAACATTTTCATTTGTTCTAGGTTCACAGCGAGACGATTAGCAGCATTTCTTCGTCTCGTACCTTCAGTTTTTCCACTGTTGGTCAAACAAAGCCAGCAGTTTTGAAGACGTGACAGTTATAAGGACAGTTTCCACTATTTTTCTGATATTTTAAGTGCAGTTGTAACAGTTAGTTCCTGGGCTCCACACACACACGTATGGAAATGACAGCTAATCTTTAACTGCACAAGAATTGCAGATTGTTTTTCTACACTTGTTTTATGATTTACACTGTAGTCCATTGTTTGTACCACTCACAGCAGAGGCCTGATCTCACTTTGGAGGATATTTCAAAAAGGTTATAAAGGCATTGTAGCAGGTAATGTGAGGTAATGGAATGGCAGTTTGACACACTGTGGGATGCCAGCTTGACAGATGCTGGATTTATAGTTATCGCCTAACTCTCCCCAGATCTTCCTTTCATTTCTTTGATGTGATACAGAGAAAGAAAGGATTAGGCCGAGTGAGGAAAGCAGTAAAACACAGACCCGGTGTGCTGAGCCCTTCTGTTCCTACACACGCGTGTGGCTGTTGGCTGTTGGCTGTTGCTGTTGTTTGACCGACCTTAATATCAAATTAAAGTTTGATGTTTCTGTTGCTGTACAATAAACGCAAACGTGCATAAAGACACACACTGTTTTAGTCTGCCTTCCTGCAGTGTTTCTGATGAAATATCCCAGCACTCGCATGTTGTTTGTGTGTGTGTGTGTGTGTGTGTGTGTGTGTAGGTCCATCTCGGGGTTGGTTCCAGCGGTCCAAGGTGCTGCAGATTCAAGCCTGTTTGCGGATGGTCATGGAGTGGTCGAGCAGGTCCGGTCTGGGACATCTGGCTGACAAATTCTTCAGCAAACTGAACAGCATTGCCTCCATACTGGCCACACCCCCACAGCAGCTCACACAGGTAATGCGCACACACACACATCCTTGGTGGCAACACTTGAAAATAAATAGAAAACTTAACATATTTAGTTTGATCAAGTCAAACATTGAGGACAGTTGTTTCAAGCAAAAGTACCAGAGACTAGGAAAGATCTTACTGGCTCTAATCAAACAGAGAGGACTGAAGAAAAGTCACCGTCATCATTGGGGGGCTCGGGGCTCAGGATGTAGAGCGGGTGGAGCTATACAAGTATAAGCCATTTACCATTTGTTGATGGATAGTTGTACCACACAGCCAACAGCTCCTGACTGCTCCTCCCAGATCCTCTCGGCTCCCTTGGTTGTTTAGCTGTATGAAAACAGGGCCTCCCAGGACTTCTGATTAATTTCTTGTGTCTTCCATTTTCTGCAGCTGAGTTGGCGAACGTTGTCCAGTGAGCACCCGACTCTGAAACCAGTCCAGCTGCACAGAATTCTTACTCAATACCAGCTCACAGCAGAGATAGGCCCTGTTCCAATATGGCAGCCCTGCAGTGAGGACGAGGCATACATATACAGGACAGGTACACGTGTATACTTTTACTTTTCGTGACCTATGGAAATGAGAGTTATGGCAAAATAAAGCCCTTGTGTTACAGGTTTAATCTCTTTAACCTATTGACAGTTATTACAAACACTTTCAATCTAAAGGTCATCAGTATAATAGTTACAGGGGTTGTGTCCATTGTCGGTTATTCACTGGCAGTGATTTGTGAGTTTGGGTTAGTTTGAAGGACTAATTTGCTACAGGACTAGTATGTATACATGCACAGTACACAGGTTTGGATTCTTGTCTTGGTTTTTTCATCATTTAGGATAATACATCTGCAATAAATGGGACAAAGCCTGGTTTTTCTTATCATCGTATACATAGAATCTTTTCCAGATTCTGAACATCTGTCATCTTTCATTTCTAAATTTTTACCCGTGTTCTTGAACTCTGCACCGAACACTGACCAGAGTTATACGTTCACTTTCATTGTAGCATAATATGGTTTGTTCATCATTAGCATGTTTCTATGTAACATGAGTTGAGGACACACTTCACACACAGAGTTTACAGTACACACCCTATTCAGACAGTTTCTAGCTTACTTGACTACTACACTAGCAGCAGGTAACTAACTAGTAGCTCTAGTTGGCTTTAAATGACATTCATGTAACAAATGTTTGTGCAGTCCTGAAGGTGTGTGTACATGTGTTAACAACAGTTTGTGTGTGTTTAGTGGACCTCCTGGAAAGCTTTGAAAACCACCCTCCCATAGTGCTGCCCAGCGCCGGCTTCAGAGTGGACCTGGACAGCGAGTGTGTTGAAGACAGCATCTACAGACAGCTGCTCTACATCCGCCACTACCTGTGGGGGCTACGCACCAAGACACAAACACACACTCCCAGTGTGCACACACACTCCAATGGAACTAACACAGCTGACTGGCTGGACATTCAGGTCAGAGGACTCATGCGCACACACATCCTGCATACGGCAGTACATTATACTGTGTTTGTGGCAGTAATCCAGACCATGTGCCTCAGCAGCTGTGGCTGTTGAGGAGTTCCTCATAATCCCATAAATGAAAGACAAAACCCCTCTACCCCAGGCACACACACATACTCACTGAAACCTAGACATAGTTAAATCATGGTTAATCTGATTAGTCTTTAGTTTAATTAGTGGAAATGGCTGACTAGACTATAATCCCCAGTGTTGGCGTACCCTCATATGTACACATATACCCGCACACAGAAACACGTATACATTCACAAATATGTGATACTATAAATCATCCAGTAAAATGATTATATAGTCGGTCTCTCATCACCCTGAACTGAGGTGCTATATCTTGAAACAAAGCTTTGTGTGTCCAAATATGTTTTATCATGGGTTAATATGTATTTTCTTCTTCATCAAATCCTTAAATTAGTCCTCATACTGTCTTCTTAAAAGTCTTTGTGTCCCATCCTGACACAGAGGGACTTGGCGCCTCCGGCCCACAACAGTCCCCGCTCTGGGGGTCCCGGGGACGAGGTGACAGCAGAGACAGGGGAGGAGAGAGGACGGGTCTCAGGCCAGTCGCACACACACAGCCTCAGAAGAAACGGCGCCATCCACCACCCACGAACAGCTAATCCAGACCCGTCCTGCCTCTTGACCCCTCCCAATACCCCGCTGTACCCGGACGGAGGAGGAGGAGGGGGAGGTGGGGGGCACGGGCTGATCCCCAGCAGTCAGACTAATGGCTGCACCAGTAGAACTGTGGCAGAATGTAAAAACGCAAATGGACTCATCACCAACGGACTGGAAGGTAGGCTGACATATATACAGGAGGTGGACAAATTATAACAGGAACACACAAGCAGTAATGGAATCTAATACAGAAACAGCCGACAGCCACAGAGTGTGATGAACACCTCTGGCAGGATCTGAACACTGTAAGCTTCACAGAAGTAGTGTTTTAGTAAGGCTGTTGGTCACTTGGAGGTTTTTGTTATTTTGTCCACCCCAAATGTGCAGTTTAAATTGAAACATTGCAGTGCTTTATACACAGAGATGCACAGATCCAATTTCTTCTCTCCAGATTCCTCAGCACAGGGTATTTGCTGGCACCAGATGATCCAGTGCTCTTTTTTCCAAATTTATAATCTCTATCCCACTGCAGGGATCTCATTGGAATATATTTTTATGTAAAGTAGCACAAGGTCATGGCTCTAAAAAGTGAGCTGTGACTGAATTAACATAACCCAAAGCAGAAACACTAAATTTTATGTTTTACAATATATACTACAGACATAAAAGTTTCACTTTTGTGCAGTTTCAGTGCAGTTCTGTAGCTAAAATGCTTGATCTGATTGGTCAGCTGTTGGTCACATGACAGCAGTAACCCTCCTTTAGTCTTATGGTGTAGTGAGGGTGACACCTACAGGCTCCTGTCAGAAGTACATGTTTGTGTGTCAAGCTCTGCAGCTGTGCATGTATTGCAGTATCTGTGTGTTTCTCCTCTGTGTTTGTCCAATCCCGCGGCAAGATCGTGTGTGTGTGTGTGTGTGTTTTTGTGGCTTTGGTTGTACGTGTCCTCTGCAGGGTGTATTAGTGGGTGTGAGTTTCCTTTCCCTGTATCCTCCCCTGGTGCCCCTCCCCTTCCTGATGACTTGTGTGTGGTGTTTGTAGTGGAACTGGACAAGGGACCCTACGGACTGGGCATGGGACTGATAGACGGCCTGGTGAGTAGACATGTTATCTTACCTGTCAGTCCAGGTTTCAGCAGTATGCTTTTGTCTTTGTGAAGCAGTTGGTTTAACAAGTTTAAAAAACAACACAGACACACACTGAGATCATAATGATGCATAAAAGAAATGTCCTATTTTACCACATAGGTTAATTATGATACTGATAATTAGGGAATGACTATTAATGAAAGTAATTCAATATGATGACTACATGGTAACATTGTAAGTTAGCTCTTATTTTAAGCATTAACTGCTAACGTGACATGCAACTGAAGTTTTGTTGCTATGGTTACTTGTAATACCTTGATTTAAAGCTGTGGTTAACCTGTTGATCAGGACTAGGTTTGAGGTGTTAGACAGTTTTAATGGACACCTGCCAGCTAATAAGAAACGAGCATTTTCCATCATTATGGTATAAATGGATTTTATGTTCCTCTACACACACCCACAGCACACACACTAAAACGTTTCCCTCCTGCAGCACACTCCTCTCAACGCTCCAGGGATTTACATTCGGACTCTGATCCCCGACGGACCTGCTGCCTCCGACGGCAGGCTGAGGATCGGAGACCGCATCCTGGCAGTGAACGGCACCAGTCTGATAGGCGCAGACTACCAGAGGTTTGTAACTGGAGATTAATGATAGTGACATTGATTACTGACATTGATGACAGAGTGAGCAGTCTTCCCACAGTGTTAACCATACCCATGACCGTCATCCTCTTAAAGGATAGGTCCGGGATTTACTGACATGCCTTTATGTACGTGGGAATAGATCGTCTACTCTTCACACTGACCCTGAATGTTTCTAAAGGGAATGCACTTAAGCTGTAAAATATGAGGGACAAAATACACAGCCCTTGTTCTGTGCAACAATGCACTCCAAAATTCTTCTGAGGCTTAAATGCAGGTACTGTTATGCTAAGCTAATTTGAGTCTGTATCTTTAAAAATTACATCTATTTAAGATAAATTTGACCCTTTTTGTTCCCCGGAAAGTAGTTCCTTGCTGAGCTGTGGAGGAGGGATACGTTCCACTAGTTAATGGAACCAGGTTTGTACTTGTGTTAAAACAGAGGGAATTCGACAATATTAGCAATGTCGGACATTGAATTTAAGGAGGAATTCACAGTGTTCTAGTGAGGGATACAAAACCTAACTGCGCATCAATATCACAGCATCTCTTGGCATCATAATATGGGAGATGCAGTATGTTGTCATATACTGACAATTGTTTCTATAAAGCTGAATCAGTATCTGTTAAACAGTAAGTAAACTCCTGACTCATCACTGTGGCCTTTAGGAACATTATCTTACACATAACTTTAGATTGGTTGGTTGATACATAACAGCATGTTATGTATTTATTTGCACTTAACCCCTTGTGTGCGCTGTTTCTCTTGTACTGTGGAACTGGGCTCCACCCACTTAACTCTATTTGCAAAAAAGCATATTTATACCCACTTTGAGCACTATTATCCACAACTTCTCCTTTCAAGATTTCTCAGGGGAAATCTGTGGAACTGTTTTTATCATTGCTTGTTTCTTTGTGAACAGCCTGGATAAACACAGACACGAACCATGTTCTCCTTTGCATGGCGCTGATGAAGCGACCCTGAAATGTGATAAACTCACACAAATATAATCCAGACACAGATTCAGAGCAGGTTATACTGGTGTCCCAAAACCACAAACTGCTTCCAGCTGTGAAATCTGCAAAGCAGAAACTTGCTTTAAAGTTAAACACAACTTGACAAACTGCGGCTAACAACAACAAACCAACACATTACGATTAAAACATATCTCTACCCCACAGCTCAGCAAGGAAGTAACTAGGCGACAAAAAAAAGAAGTAATTTGTGTTAAACAGACGAACTTTGAAAGATAATGACTTGAATTATCTTAGTGGGACAGCCAAAGCTTCATTTGAGCCCCATTTTCCACACAGAATGAGGGTTGTGTATTTTGTCCAACTACCCCAAGATACTTGAACTCCTCCACTTGAGGCAGGAACTCTCCACCAACCTGAAGGGAACAAGACACCCTTTTCCGACTGAGAACCATGGCCTCGGATTTGGAGGTGCTGATTCTCATCCCAGCCGCTTCACACTCGGCCGGCAACCGCCCCAGTGCATGCTGGAGGTCCTGGTTTGATGGGGCCAACAGGACAACGTCATCTGCAAAAAGCAGAGACGAAA